ACTTAGGAATTAACCTAATCAATGAAATGAAAGACCTCAATAATGAAAATCACATCTCTCTGAAAAAGGAAATCGAGGAGGACATCAGGAAATAGAAAGATACTCTGTTCCTAAATAGGCAGAAGCAATTTAATCAAAATGGCTATATTTACAAAACTGATACACAGATGTAATGCAATCCCAGTCAAAATACCAGTGACATTTCTCACAAATCTAGAGAAAACAATCCTAAAATTCATATGAAACAAGAGACCCAGAATAGCAAAAGCAATCCTGGGTAACAAAAGCAAAGCAGGTGGCATCATAATCTTAGACTTGAAGTTATACTATAAAACTGCAGTGACTAAAACAGGATGGTATGGGCCTAAAATCAGACATGGTGAATAAAGGAAAAGAATAGAAGAAGCAGAAACAGTCCCAGGTGCACATAGCTATTTGATCTTTGGCAAAGGGACAAAAACACAAGGGATGAAAGCCTCTTTAATAAATAGTGCTGGGAAAATAGGATATCCACATGCAGAAGAGTGACTCTAGATCCATATATTTTACCATGTACTAAACAAATAAAAATGGATCAAAGATCTAAATATTCAAAGAGAAAGACTTAATCTGTTGGAAGATAAAATAGGTACACTCTTGAATACATAGCTATAGGTGAGGAATTTTTTTTATCAGAATCAGAACCCCAGTGGCACAAGAGATAATATCAGGAATCAGCAAATGGGACCATATGAAAGTAAAGAACTTCTGCACAGCAAAGGAAATAACCAACAGAGTCAAGAGATAACCTACAGAATAGGAAAACATTTTTGCCAGCTATTCCTTGGACAGGAGACTAACATGTAGAATATATAAAGAATTCATGAAAAGGAGACTCCCCCAAATAAAAGACCCAGTCAAAAAACGAGCAACAAAAATGAGTGGGCACTTCTCAGAAGTACAAATAGCCAGTAAATGAAAAAATGTTCAACATAATTTTCCTTGGAGGAATTCAAATTAAAAATACATTGAGATACTATCTAGCCCATAAAGAATGTCTTTCATCAAAAAATCTAATAAAAAATGCTGACAGGATGTTGGGGAAAGAGAACTCTTCTACATTGTTGGAGGGAATGTAAACTAGTATAACTGCTATGGAAATCAGTGTAGAGAGTCCTCAAAAAACTAAAATTAGAATTCGATTTGGCCCAGATATCCCCCTTCTAGGTATCTTCCCAAAAGAGTTAAAATCAGCGTAGTAGAAAGATACATTCATACCCATGTTTATAGCAGCACAGTTTAGAATACTTGAAAATAGCATATATACCCATCAACAGATGAATGCATAAGGAAAATGTGGTATTTATGCATAATGGAGTACTATTTTGCCATAAAGAAAGAAAAACTTGAAGTGTTTATAGGTAAACGATAGAAGAGAACATATGTTGTGAAATAAGTCATACACACAAGATTAAATATTGCATGGTTTCTCTTGTATAAGAAACTCAAAATACCACTAGGTATATGCAGATGCAGAGCAAAATAGAAGATAGATAAATAGGAAATAGAGAGAAATTAAAATAATTCCCCAAACTACCTATTCTATTGTTTCAAAAATATTTTAATATATATGCTAATTCATTTCATTTATACTGCTAATTTCTCTTAGTTCATTGAAAATAACTGTTTTGTGCTATTATGTGTTTGTTTCCTGTTTGTAAGAATTATTTTTGTTGATGTATTGAATAACTGTTTTGAAGATAATGATTTGTTATTCTCTTACAGTTTTACTATGAAATTTTATGGGACTTTTTACAAAATAATAACATTTGTGAAAAAAAGTTTAAAAACTTGTACTACTAGAGGACTCCACAGAAAGGATGTGTTGATAATCTTGTTTATAAAGCTGACAGATAAAGCTTTTTAGAAATGTACCTTCCTGCCCTTCTCCTAGGATCTGTGTTTGTGGAGGCCGTTTGATCTCTCTGCAATAATCTTTAAAATACTCTGATATCTGGAATCCTGGGGATGGCTTAATAACATGAAAAAATATAAAATTTCTTGAATTATATCTACTAATCATTTTCCAGGTGACATTTTCTTAAGGAGTGATATATTATTTCTACCAAGCAAAAGCTGTTGGGGACAGTGGCTGGTCTTTATAAATAGAAACTTGATGGAATGCGAAGCACACCTATCAACATTTTAGATGAAAGATAGGACTCTTGAAGGAGTCATAATGTTGTTTTTTCTGAGAATAACTATTGAGGATCATTAAGTATCGTTCAGTAGGTGAATTGTAGTAGAAAGTGAATAGTACTCATAATGGTATGGATACAACACAAAAAAACTCACATTCTTCATTTTGTATTTTTTGCTTGCCAAATTTTTTTTAAAAACGTCTCTCTTTCCTAAGGAAATCTTTAGAACAAATGATTATCTTAATTTCTCAAAATGTACGTATTAATGCTGATGCTTACAAAGGCAAATTTCATGTTATTTCTTTTAACTGCATGTTTTTATCACATTTGATAAGAAAATAGCAGAAATGCATATTTTTGCTTCGAGTGTTTTGCTACTCCTCAGAGATTGAGAGTTGACTATGTATCAGGCAACCCAAAAGCTGAGAGAATTCTGCACTGACAGATGGTTTCATTTTCATTTCTTTAAAGAACAACCACCTTGAAATCAGGAGAGTTCTATGATGATCCTAGCATATGTGCTGAGGAATAATTCCCTTTTAAAATCAGCCTTTTTATATTTTTTTGGTGGTGGGAATTGAACCTAGGGCATACTATATGCTAAGTACGTGATCTACTGCTGATGTACACCCCTAGCCCATATATCTTATTTTTAACAAATGATACATTCAGTAAAAGTTTGAAAAGAAGGAATTGTATATTCATTATATTAGAGTTATTTTTGGTCTTTATGTATTTATCCCATTTTGTATGACCTAGCATAATATTTTAAGGCATCTGAGTAGCTGAAAAAGGCATTAGCATTTAATTCATAACTTACTGAATAACTTTTCAGATGAAACCTTTTATTAAACTACTTTTAGGAAAAATAATAGAAATTTTTTTGTTTTTTTTTTCCTTTTTTTGAGATGGGGTCTCACTCTATAGTTCAAGCTGGCCTGGAACTCACTGTGTAGTCCAGGCTGGCTGGCCTCAAACTCAGTGATTCTCCTGCCCCAGCCTGCCAAGTGCTGCGATTGCATCACCATGCCTGACTTGGAAATATTTCTTTTATTTTCAAATCTTACTGATCCCTTGAGAATGTGCTTATTTTCTTTTCAGAATCAAGTAAGATATCTACCAGAGGGTAATCAGTCCTCCAACTGCCTAGAAAGGGAAACAGGGAGGGCTAAATAGGGAAAGACAGTAGAGACTTGTGTACTTTCAAAGTACGTGGAGGGCCTGGAGGTCAATGCCTCAGAGTGGGCAAAGGCAAAGACACTCCTGAGCTAGCCATTATTTATTGAATACAGACAATAATTGGAGGGAGTATCAGGTGAGTTAGATGCAACAGTAATCCTATTCCTGTGTTGTTGAGGATCTTATGTTGATGAGGGAGGTAAGGAGAGCATTCTTACAGTAGTAGTAGGTGGGACCAGATAGCAGGCTAATAAAGAATTTATCCTTCCCCCAGGTAAAACCTTTCTTTTTTTATTACTACTGGGTTCTCCAAAAGCCAGAATGTCATCCGCTTATGTACTCTTGCCCTTGAGCATCACAATATCACAGGACCATTGAGGCCTCATCTTGGCAAAACGCAGTTTTATGTTTCTGCATGCCATAGCCAGCTTGCGGGCAACTGGACATTGGGCCTTAGACAGCTATAGTTGTACTTTAATTATGAAATGATTTTTCCCAAAAAATTATGTAGAATGGCTCCCGACAATATTTTTTTCTGTTCTTAAAAATCTTAAATATTTAGAAGTTAAACCTAGCCATTTTACTTTACAGGAATATGAAAAGTGAGGAAAGATATATGAAAAAATAATGACTTCAGTAGCATATTGGAAAATGGAAATTCATATAAGTGGCTGTCAGTAGGAACATGGTTAAATAAATATTAACATATACATACTGAATAATCATAGGGGAAAAAAAGAGATCTTACAAAAATGTCCTAGTTGTAAGGTTAAGATTTTAAGAAAAGAAAGCTTTCTAGTGTATACAACATGCTTCCATGTGTAGGATGATTCTCTATTCCTGTAGTGCTTACAGATAGGTACAAAAAGGGACTGCATTTACTCAAGTTTTTGAGACCAAAGGACACCTGGCAGAGGCAGTGAGGGAGTAATGAATCCTACCCCACTTGCCTTTTACGCAACCAGGGTCCTGGCCAGTGGCTGCCTTCTCCAGAGGAAGCCAGGAAGATGCACCTTTTCCTAGGTAGCATAGTAGATGTGGGGGACGTGCATCAGATGGCTGCTTTCACTCCCTTGCTTATGTACTTTTGGCAGGCTTTGCATTATTTTTGAACAAGCAAGTATTGTATTTATAAACTAAAAGAATATAAACTGAAAGAAAATACAGTGATCCAAGAGGCAGAGGTATACAAACATATGAAACATCAGATATACTTTAAAAGAATCCTTCATTAGCAATCAAATTTGGTTTTCCAGTGAAATCTGAAAAAAGTCAGTGTAGTGATATATATGTCAATATGATATATATGTTAATCTGTCAAATTAAAATAACAGCTGCTTCCCTGGAGTTTTTCTTAAGCAACAGAGTTTCTCAAGGAAGGAAGAAAAAAAGATTCAAGTGGAAGCATTCCTTGCAGCAAACCAAATACTTGTCATTTGAACAAGTTAACAGGATCAATTTAGGAGGTGAAAATGGGCATTGTTTACCATGGCAGGAGAAACCTTAAGTCTCTGGGAGTTAACTCACTAGTTTAACTAGCTGAAAATGAAGTTGTTTGATTTGTGTAGTGGTTTTGTATAGATTTCTAAGTGGAAATTCGCTCAATGATGAATTAATTTGACTTTCCCACTAATGTGCTAGGTGATGGTTGCTGAAGCCCTGGACATTTCCAGAGAAACCTACTTAGCAATTCTGATGGACCGGGCCTACAATGGCCCCGTGCTGGTGGGCAGCCCCCAGGGTGGTGTTGACATTGAAGAGGTGGCTGCTTCAAATCCAGAACTTATTTTTAAGGTATGCTTAAGTATCTGGCTATGCTGTTTTTAATAGACTGTTATTGTAAAAGCTGTTAAACTCTTAATGTGGAGTCTAAGCCTGGGAGCAAAACATCTGTTTCTGAGATTTAAAGTAGATGTTGATCCTTTTTCTTGCTGGATATCTACTAGAAAGTTGAATAGAATCAAAGTATTAGTATTCAAGGGCTTTTCTTTGCTCTTTCTCTTCTTTCCATCTCTTTTCCATCCTCATTCCCTTCTCTGTCATTCCTTTTAAGCCAGCCTGCTCTAAGTATTAACCAGTGGGAGGGCACTGTGATATTTCCATTTCTTCGAAGCTAGACATAAAGCCCTATCTAACTTTATGTATGGTTCAAGAATTCTTTCTGAGGAGGCAGAATGTGAACTAGAGACTGTTTTGAGTAAAACAGAATCTTTCCAAGATCCAGATTCTGTCAGTTTGTTTTAATTCTTGAAGTCTTATCCTGTTTATAAGACTAGTTTTAGTCAAAGAGATATTTAGTCAAATCTGACTAGTTTGTAAGTTTCCTACCGACTCTAAGCCTCATTTTTTAAATTGGAAGAATGAAAATGATGTAATTTCTGCCCTGCAGAAGTGTAAAGATTAAATGAAGTGATGTATATAAAATCCTTCTTATCCTAACTATAAGAAAAAAATATAAAATCTATAAAACTAATTTCAGATTTTAATCTGGATTCTAAATGTCAAAATTACATTATAATTTCCAGTAGAAACATACATTATTTCTTTTAGAAAGTGATTTTGTTTCCTTTTGAAAAAGGGGAATTTATTTTCCTAAATCTCTTTGTCTAGATAATGTATTCATACAATGGTGATTCGTTTTAAAATACTATCACTGATGTTATATATATATAAGATCACTTCCTTGGAAGTTTGAGACTACACATAGACTTATCAATAATACCTTGATGCTTTCAAAATTACCATTACCTGAAAAAATTCTGTTTACTAAAAGAATATATGAAATAATGTATATAAGTAGCACTCGGTATTTTGAGAATGGTACTTTGTAGAGCTAAGGTTTTAATAATATTCAACATCAGTAGAGTGTTTAAATCATAGGATACTGTTTAACCTATGTATGACAGCTTGAAACTTAACAGCAATATTAAGCAGAAAAACCTTCTTTGGAAGGCTTCCAAAAGATGTCATAAAAATTAACTGACTAAATATTCATCAGTGCCATCTGTATAGTAATTAAAAGTGAAAACTGGCATCAGATCGTCTTGTCAGCATGCCACCTTGAAGAATTATATAGTTTTTGGAAGGGCTGCTTCATAGATGGTCTGCTAATTAAAACATACCCTATAGGCAGCTGCAGTAGCCCTGTTCAGAGATCTCTGGAAAGTTGCCACAGTTTAATTACTCATTTGCAAATAAATACTAAGCATTTTCTTTTCAAGGTTGTAAATCTTCTCACTTGACTATATGAATTTTGTTCGTTTAATTTATTTTTACTAGGAGCCAATTGATATTTTTGAAGGGATAAAGGACAGCCAAGCTCAGCGGATGGCAGAAAATCTGGGCTTCCTTGGGCCTTTGAAAAACCAGGTACATAAGCCATTGCAGGACAGCATGTCTGAGTTCTTTCAGAAAACATTTGGGAACTTGCTTAATTGCTTCTGATGTTGTGATTACCAGGAAACAGGATTATTGTTTTATAATTTTTTCCCTAGTTGTTTATGATGAAGAGAAATATTTCCTGGTGTTTCAAAAGAGAATGTTTATAATGTGTGTGTGCATGTATGTGCTGCCCATGTATGTGTTGCATGTGGTACATATACTTTATGATGTATAGATGATCTTTTTATATTTCCTGTAGCATTGTTGATGTTGCTACCTGGTGTCTATGGGATTTAGTGCATCCAAAGTTGAATTTTAGCATCTGTAGGATGGACATGATTACCGCTAATTGAGGGGTGTATTGTAGGGCTTTCGTATAACGGTGTGTGAAAGTGCTTATTAAAGTACTCCATAAAGATCAGTTATTGGGCTGGGGAGGTGGTGCAAAGGAAGAGTGCTTGAAAGGAAAGGAAAAGAGAGGGAGGGGGAAGGGAGGAGACAGAGGAGAACAGAGATCAGTTATTATTTTGTTGTTGTCATTAATAATATACTCCTTAACTAACTGCTATTCTTTCATAGCTGAAGGGCACTTGTGATGAGTATGTCTTGAAGGTCATATTTCACTGAGAATAGCTTAAAATATGCTAAACTTTGTAGCAATATCCCTTATCCTCAAAGACAGAAAACTGTCCTCCAAGTTGTTGAAGAACAAGATCTGTCATGAGCATCCTAGCACTGCCCTGCCTTTGGTCCAGACCTTGTGCCTGATGTTGTGCCTACACAGGCAAGCATCTTTGTCCCACAGCTGAGTCAGAAGAACTTAGCAGCTACTTTTTCCCTCCTCCATTACTCAGAGGGGCCACTCTTATGTTATGTGTGTATATGTTCCTTGGCCTGGGGCCCCTTATGACCTTCAAGGCATTAATACTCATTTCAAGTGCTCATCAGCTATGAAAGAATAGCAGTTAGTTAAGGAGTATATTATTAATGACAACAATAAAATAATAACTGATCTTCTCTTTTCTCCTTTCTTCCCTCTCCTCTCCATGGGCTCCACAGTGATTCCTGACTATAGTTATCCCTCACTGTTCATGGAGAATGGTGTCCAGGAACCCCTAAGGATATCAAACTCTCACACATTCAAATCTCTCATATAAAATGGCATAGTATTTGCCTACAACCTATTTACCTCTTCCCCATTTACATTAATTCATCTTTAGATTACTTATAATACCCCATACAATGTGAACGCTATGGAAATTGTTGTATAGTTTAGAGAGTAATGACAAAAAAAGTATACATATTCAGTATAGGCACAATTATTTTGAAGAATCCATTTGTGGTTAGTTGAATCCCTGCATGCAAAACCTGCAGCTACAGAGGACTTATTGACTGTGCATGAATTTAGTTGAGCAGCACTGTTCCTATAAAATAATAGGTTTTGTACTTTTTTCTTTACTTTTTCATTGATTGATTTATTCTGTAGTAATTTAATGATGACAGTAAGCAAGTTAAAAAAGCATTAAAGTAGAATATACACATATATATATATTTTAAATGAAGGGAGGGCAGCACTTATTTAAAAATGAGAGTAGAAATTCCCTTAAAAAAAAAATCCCATGGGGTTGAGGGGGATAGGATCATCCAAGACTCAGCCTTAGGAGGAGAAGAAAGGGCAGCATTCAGTGCACGACTGCAAAAAGATGCCAGGGAAGGGAAGTGACCTTTTGAAAGAAAAGAGAAATTCCTGGGTATGTGCTGTACGGTCATTTTCACCTTCTCAGAATTGGGGTAATAACCACATGCAGGCTTCATTTGTCATGTAAGGGACTTCTCCTTTATGGCTGGTGGACAGCCACTTTCCATACAGTCACCGTGTCCTAACTACTCTGTTCTATACCAGCTCCAGAGTGTACTCCTGTCTATCTCCTCTTTATCACTTTGCATTTCTGTTTCTCTTACTTATTTGT